TCTTAAAGAACCTTACATATAATGTTGAATGAAGTTTTAACCATTTACAATATACCCCTGTCTCAAATGTCATAAACAATGTGCAATGTGTCCTCTTGCTCATTGTAAGCAGTATTCCGGTCCTTTGGTCAAATGTCGTACATGTATCTATTTACAGACTTTGTCAATTACACTTTGTTAACTACAAACCTGTGTTCTGAAAAACAATTATTTTACGAGATTTATACTCTCAAAATGTGCCATAAATGCATTGACCTTTTTTTAAGTTATGGCATTTTTATTTGTATGCAACGTGATATTTATTTGATTGCGGGCCTATGTTTTATTTCTATTTATTATGTACCATGGGGTGAACAATGGAATGTAGATCATTTATAGGCGTCTGTAAAGGTGAAATGGCTAGTACCTTATTCGACCTTGTGCGTCCTGGAACACTCGGGATGTAGAAAAGAGAAGAGGGGGAGGGGAGGAAATACTATATTCCAAGAGAAAGACGGAGATACTCATATAACATACCATCCTCTTTCAACCTATCCATATGTCGTGTTTTACTATCGTATCCATACGACGTGGGGAACTCTGTGCCATCACTTTCCAAAGAAGAAATTTACTCGTTAATCTGATCCGTACGCTTTGCATAGAGCAGTCTGTCAAAGTGATTTTTTGAAGAAATACTGAAAGTTTCAAAGAGATCTTCGTACTTGAAGTATCCTAAAATGCAAAGAATATAACCCCCGGGGTACAAAATGATCCCAGGGCGTACGGATAGGGCTAGAGAATGGGACTTGCGTATTTGGTGTGCTGGCAAAACGAGAAGTCCAACCATTACAACACAGGCTTGTGTTTGAGGTGTCGGCAGCAAGGTGTGAATGAGTAAAGGTAATCTTGAGCCCTACTTTCAGAAATAACACGACCCACATGGACCTACCAAGCGCATTGCGGGTGGTTGGAGGGCGCTATTGGTATGTCCTACTTCTTTTCTTTTCCTGTGTGGTTTCTGACAAATTTTGCTGCATCTTTCTTTGCACGATATCATGACCGTTATTGTGTCGGTGTGCTTCTCCTTACTCAACAACTCTCCGTGGGGTCACCATAGTATCCGTAGTGGTAGCCGTGACGTCGTAGGCGATAGACGGGTTTTAACTTAACTTAAGAAAAAGTTTCTGATGAAGACATTTCGCTATCTCAGAATTACAAAGTTCTATCTGACTTTTTTTGGCCGTTTTGAGTCACGGCACTATATAAAGACCATCAGGTCAGGTCGGAATGTTTATTCAAAATCGTTAGAATATTCTGAGTCGTTATCAAGATGTTCAAATACTTGCATTCGAAAAACCTTGACACATTATTTTGTTGTGAAACTTTAAAAAAAATTGACGTCACATTTCTCAAAACTAGGTATTTATTGAACAGATAGGACTTCGTAATTCTGATGTAGCGATTTACTCAGAGGCCGGTCCTGCCTGTGTGGCTGATGTTTGTGTTGCTCAGTGTTAGCGCCCATGTACTTTATATGTCATTGCTGCTCAAGCCTACCCTCACAAAAGTACTTATTTGCCTTCTTCAGTATTATTCCATCAGTTGATTATTTTTATCTTTTTTAAAATCTTTTTTT